CTGCCCCTCCTTCTTCACTGACCTTGGTGTGTTTGCAAGGGCTGTTTCTCTCGCATCATCTCACTTCTCTCTCTGACTGCAAAATGCCCAGTTTTTTTCTCTTCCCCTCCTTAATTATATTATCCCAGAGGTGTTACTGTGGGCCACCGGCAGGTCCATCTTGAAGCCAGCTGGCATTGGCTGTGTCTGACATGGGGGAAGCTTCTGGCAGCTTCTCACACAGGCCACCCTTACAACTTTTTTCTTTTTTTTCTTTCAGTTTTTCAGCCGTGGGCCAAATGTACTGCATCAAGACATCAGTGCCCCACAAGCTGCATTCTTTTCACCTCTTCAAAAAGTGATGTTGCCTCCAAATACCTTTCAAGGGAAAGTGGCCTTTATAACTGGTGGAGGTACTGGGATTGGCAAAGGGATGACAACAACTTTGTCCGGTTTAGGTGCCACGTGTGTTATAGCGAGCCGGTAAATATTAACGAAGGCATTTTAGAGCTTTCATTTAGTATTGAATGCTGAATGGATCTGTTATCTTCTTCATAATGTATCTTCCTTTCTTCTTCATAAACTGGATAGATTTATTCTATTTACTCCATTTCAGTACACTTTTAAATTACAGTATCATATTGTAAATACTAGAAACTTGCAGGTCCATCTACAAATGACTAATGGTGTAACCAGCAGTAGGAAGAAATAAACTAAACACATTTCCATGAAATGCGCCAGCAAAATAAACAACCCAGAATATTAGACATAAATTCATGTAAAGCCTGAAAGAGAACAAAAAATTGAAATGGCCCATTGTTGAACATTTTGGATATATTATAGCAGGGGTTCTTCGTACAGATTTGAATTGCAATAAGAATTAAAGCCATTCCTCTTAATTCTCATGACTTTAAAAACAGCCTTGATTTTCTCTTAATGAAGATAATCTTTCTACAGTTCTCTTAAGTAGCACTACAGTAAAGACTAGAAAAACAATCTTATTTTTAATCAAAATAAACGAGTGTTGTGACATTCATCCAAACTTTTTTGGATGCATGAATATGCATGTCTCTTCTAAAATACTAGTAGAGTATTAGCTAAAACTAAGTTTATGATTATGTACTCAGAATGAAATTTTTCTTCCAGCTTATCACGTTTGATTGGTTTAAGATAGTCTCTTACTGTACTCACTTCTGAGTTGCTCTGAAGTAGCACTAACCAGAAATTACTTAGATTTAAAGTTTTCTTTCAGAAAGTTAGTGACTAAACATAGTTTTTTATCTTAAAGCTCAGTTTTCATTAAAATCAGCAACATCCATGTGTGCACATATTTGCTCAGAAAAAAATAAGCAGATTTTATTAATCTGAATTGTAATTGCATTTAACTGAAATTTAGTGACATTGTATACTTATTTTTAGGAAGCTAGATGTTTTGAAAGCAACAGCAGAAGAAATTTCTTCTAAAACAGGGAATAAGGTAAATTTTCACAGAATTATGAATATGTCACTTATTATACTTTAAATGGTTATAGGATTTTTATGCATTTATGTGCTTCTGTGGGCTTGCTTAATTTATGAGTGATATAGTTTTGAAGTCTTACAGCTGCCTTTCCATTTTTATTTAGGTTCATGCCATCCAGTGTGATGTGAGAGATCCAGTTTCAGTTAAGAATGCTGTTGCTGAAATAATCCAGGTGGCAGGACATCCTGATGTAAGTGTTCTAGTGAAAGGAAGAAACTTCATTACTGAAAATACTCTGCATAGCAGATGTGAAGAAAGTTACTATGATAGAAAGTTAATGGAATCTAAAGAGACACTAGACAAAAAGTGACCATACTTCAAGATGAAGCTAACATTCACAGTTAGACTGGTTACTCTGTTCCTGTGGTTCTTGAAATACTTAGTGGCCAAGTAGACAAAATGTAGTTGTCCTTACTCTAAGGACTAACAGGTTCTGTGTAAGCAGTGGGACAATTATGATGTGATTCTCTGAAATAATTAAGTGAACAGAACATTGCCCTTAAATCCTCCTGAAAAGGTGATTTATCTGTGTTCTTACCGAATTACACGTGTTGCTTATTAACAGCATGTTTCACAAATTAGAAATGGAAGTAATCATAAACCTCTTCTTTGGTCCTTGCTTAGCTTATTAAAATACACAAATAAGGTTCCAACTTGAAAACTAAATTCTCATAAAATCAAGAAAAAAATCTTCAGTCAAGCTAAGCATCTGTTTTTTAATAGTTTGGCACAAAATATAGGGCTCTTAACATCGGACTGTTGCTTTAAGAAGGGTGGTCTAGTGGAGTCTGAACAATGATATCACCAAACTGATTTGATTGTGAGAGAAATAACTAGTTTTCTGACAGAAAGTGTGATGGGGGTGTTAATATCAATGTAAAGGATAGTCAGTGAGATTTAAGCTGTTTACTGTAGATTTAGAACTGTCATCTGTGTATTGTAGACACTTTCCATTCACCAGTAGCTTCCTAAAGACATAGAAGAGAACCTACTGAATTCTAAACGTGGTAAGAAATGGAGAAACTATTTCTCACAGCTATATGCTATAACAGTGCTATAAAATAAAACGTCTCACTGTCCTAATTTGTAGACAAGATACTCTGGATATTATTTTGACTAGTAGTTACTGCAGTTTTTGACAAAAGCACATAACGATCTCCGGGTTTCAAGTGTGTGCAGAGAGGGAGGAGACTTCTTTCCTATATATTACATTTTCAGTACACCAGTAATTTTCTGAATAAATACTTCCTGTGACTTGTTTTTTACAAGCATTTCCTTTCTCTTTAATTTTACATATTCTGTGTTTTTAAGAGAGACTGCAGATTAAATTGCATATTCAGTTCTTTTTGTCCAGTTTTTCTCTTAGTGGCAGTCATGACACTAAGTTTATGAATACTGCAAGCCTGGGTATCACTGTCACTGTACCTGTGCGGTGAGATCTCAGAGACAGAAGTTAATGGCATTATCATATTCCTTCTAGCTTTGTTTTGTCCATTTTGTCCCCAGGACTGTTACTGCAAATTAGAAAGCAGTCACTCTTTTGTCATATAGATTGTTTTGGCAGTCATATGTGTCTACATACCTCCAAGATCTTATCATGCAGTCCTTAGTTCACTAGTTTTATTATTGTGTCTTCACTATGTTTATTCAGTGATTCAAGTAACCTCCTCAGTACTTTGAGGTGTTTGGATTTTTTTTGTTTTTCTTCAAACTGTAGAGAGCCCTTAAAGTTGTATTTGCCATCTGTATGTATAATTTATGGCCATTGTATTTTTTTGTTTTATACTTATGCAATATGTGCTGTGCTCTGTTTTGTTATTGAAAATTCTAATGTTTTAATTTAGCCCAGAAGTTCTTCAGAACAAAGACTTTTTTATGTGTAAACCTATGTGAATCTAGGTGTCATTCCATAAGTAATACACCATTTAATTGCTTCAACTCATCATATTATTATTAAATATACAAGATCTGGCCACATAAGTTTTGCTTATGTGGTGCTTAGTCCCCCCAAAAAATACATCTAACTTGCTAGCTTGAAGTGCTAGGCAGATAATATATTGAAAGTATCCTCTGACTAATTATTGTTTGTAGAAAGGCAACAAGTGACAGATACACATCCGTTCAAAAAAAGTTTTGTAGTAGTTGCTTGCAGTTCACTAAATCATAACACTGTCACAGAATCACAGAATGTTAGGGTTTGGAAGGGACCTCGAAAGATCATCTAGTCCAATCCCCCTGACGGAGCAATAACACATAGATGAGATCACACAGGAAGGCGTCCAGGTGGGTCTTGAATGTCTCCAGAGAAGGAGACTCCACAGCCTCCCTGGGCAGCCTGTCCCAGTGCTCTGTCACCCTCACTGTAAAGAAGTTTCTTCTCAAGTTTAAGCGGAACCTCCTGTGTTCCAGCTCACACCCATTGCTCCTTGTCCTATCATTGGGCATCACTGAGAAGAGCCTGGCTCCATCATCCTGACATTCACCCTTTACATATTTATAAACATTAATGAGGTCACCCCTCAGTCTCCTCTTCTCCAAGCTAAAGAGACCCAGCTCCCTCAGCCTTTCCTCATAGGGAGATGCTCCACTCCCTTAATCATCTTGGTGGCTCTGTGCTGGACTCTCTCAAGCAGTTCCCTGTCCTTCTTGAACTGAGGGGCCCAGAACTGGACACAATATTCTTTCTTTCTCATGACTGATTAGACTTCCTGTTATGCAACAGTCAGCTAATTCAGACTTTAGTCATCAGGTTACCTGAAGTTATTTTGCTTTTCTTCCCATGCACTCATTCCATTAAATATGATACTTGACCTTGGAACAGACAAACTTTTCTTTTAGGATGCACTTGAGACACTAAGGAAAACAGTGACTTAAGTCTCCATCTACATTTACAGTTCCTCTGTACTAGATTAGTAACTACAGCAGTTTGGAAGTACATCTCATTTTCTGATATTGATACATATCTATGCTTCAGATGTTACAATTTCTGATGGATTATTTTCTCTCTCCCCCCCTGCCATTTAATGAGCATATTTTTACTTTTCTACCTGGAAACACTAAGAAGTTCCTTGTCAATTCTTTGCTTTTCACTCAGGAAGAGTTATTTTTGCTTAACTCTTAGGTTTTCCTTCATATCTTTCAGGTTGTGATAAACAACGCAGCTGGAAATTTTATTTCCCCTTCTGAACGACTTTCTGCTAATGCATGGAAAACAATAACTGATATTGTGCTTAATGGTACTGCTTTTGTAACTCTGGAAATTGGAAAGGAGCTCATTAAAGTACAAAAAGGTATGTTAAACTTCAGATAAATGGTAACTAAGCATTGTGACATAATATCATTACTTGCTTTCCTTGCCTTACTATTGTTATAGCCAGACTTGAGAGTTTAAAAAGAAACACGATTTTTAACAGCCTACATATTTTCTAGAAAAAACTTCATTTTCAGTAAAGCTGTACTTAAATATCACACAGTAGAACTGACTAGCAATTACTTTGTTGTAGAATCTGCCCTTAAAGTTGGACCCAAGGGCTATGAGGTTGGATATAAAAATCTAATTGCAGAGTTTGTATCAGTTGTAAAAAGTTTTTAAAATTAAAAAAATAAGACTTTGTTTGAAACATATGCTCTTACTTCCTTTGAGTCTTCTATATCTATGTTGGTTTCATTGAGCAACTGAACACATGGCATTTATTTAAATGAACAGCAAGTCAGGATATCACTTTGAATTTTCCTCCTACACTTAAATAAATAAAATTCACAGCTGTGCTAATAGCACTAGAGAATATTAACTTTGAGATAATTTGAAAAAGAAATAAAAAATTGAAATCAGTATTAGATTTTACTTTCCCAGATATAATTCTTAGTTCTAGACTACCTACGAGCTTAATCCAATATTTTGGCTTTACCTCAAAAATGTGATAGTTCTTTGATATACTGTTTAGCCAAAGATTTATCCAACTAGGTTATTGTCTTCAAGTAAAAGATCATGTATGCCCTTCTATGTTATATCATAGATTATATACAAAGAACTGCTTTCATTTTACATTATTTTCTAGTTATCAGTTAAAAAACATTGAGCTTCTTTTTTTATCAGAATGATATAATCTCAAATAGCATTTAAAAGCAGTGCAGTATATTATGGTTTTCCATGTGCCCTCACTTCTGAATCCTCTTTTCTAGGTACAGCTTCTGTATTGAAATAATCTTTTTGTATTTGCACTGTATTTCTCTAAATCCTGAATTAGTTGAATTTCTTCAAAACTCCTCTCCAAAAAGTATTCAGTCGTTTTATACTATTTAATGATGACAGTATAAAGTTAATGTTATTTCACTAAGTCTGTAACAGTTTTGGTTAGTTGACAAGGTATTACTCACATAAATTTTAGCAGCACATTAAAAAATTATTTCCACCATTCTAGTGCTAATATTCCCACATTAAAAACCCATCCCCAACTCTGACTTACTACATCATTATAGCAAACTATTGTAATAGTTTGCTTTATGGCCTTCCAGATGCATGCCTTGTCTCCCTATAGTAATGTGAAATGCTGCTTTAAAAATGCCTTTGTCTCCACTACTACAGAGTGAAAAACTGCTTTGCTTGTTTCCACCCTCAAATTTGGCAAAATCCAGAAGTCATTCACCTTCATGTTGTGTCTCTTCCTTTCACTTCTAAGCTTGCAAAACACGTTAATATCTTATCATAGAATCATAGAATGGTTTGGGTTGGAAGGGACCTTAAAGATCAGGTAGTTCCAATCCCCCTGCCATCAGCAGGGACACCTTCCACTAGACCAGGTTGCTCAAAGCCTCATCCAGCCTGGTCTTAAACACTTCCAAGGAGGGGGCATCCACAACTTCCTTGGGCAACCTGTTCCAGTGTCTGACCACCCTCACAGTGAAGAATTTCTTCCTAATATCTAATCTAAACCTGCCCTCTTTCAGCTTAAACCCATTTCCCCTTGTTCTGTCATTAACTGCTCTTATGAAAAGTCCTTCCCCAGCTTTCTTGTAGGCCCCCTTCAGGTACTGGAAGGCTGCTATAAGATCTTTTGCTATTACTTGCACACCTTCTTTTTAGGGGATTCCGTTTGTATATAAGACTTTTTATTTAAGACTTTAAGACATGTTTTTGCAAGTAAATCAAGTGTACCTGTTTGTCCTCACATTCTCCACCTTGATTTTCTTCTAGTTGCTTGGGTTTTTAAAGTTTGAGCGAAGACCTTGATTTCTGAGTGATGGAGATGCTACCTAATGCAAATATTTTAGAACAGTCTGTGAGGATGCTATACATCTGACAGTTACTAGAAGACTGGCACATCCTTTAGGTCTGCAGCATGACCTAAATTAAACCTAACTTAGTAAATAGGAGAAGTGTTCTGCTTTTAGTCTCTATGTTTGTACTGGTTTTTAAAAGGGGTTTGTAATCTGCTAGTGCATTATTTATTTATACACTAAAGTTTTACAAAATGAGAGACATCGTCCATTTTATGAACAAAGGCTTTAGAAATAAAAATTATGTATGAACTGAAGTGTACTTAAAACTTCACAGCTGTAAATTTATCAGTCATTATTGCTTCTGTGTTAGGTTCACCCAACTCACCTCTATTCAACCTGTATTTTAAAAATTCTATGGTTTAAATTCTGCAAAATGTATAATTAACGATCAACTCTAGATAAACTTCTGAGTTGTTCTGTGTTTTTTGCCTGTGTTGATTTTTATTTTCAAAGTCTCTCAGTGTAGACTACTTTTTAGTAAATAGGCTCTGTGGTTTCTGGATGTCAGCTGGCATTTCTGTCAGTGCTTGTTTATAGTTCTCTTTAGTTTATCTTGTATAACATAACTTATTTTTTAACTGAGTCTGTATTTCATCGTCACATGTATTCTATCAGTAACATATATTGTTTTAGAAATATCTCTTGGGTAGCTATTTTAATTAAATTATTTTAAAAATACAATAAGTAGAACAGTTATTTTAGTTACTGTGGCATAAGTAGTGAACTATCATCCCTTGACCTCCATTTCCCAGTTACAGTAAGTTGATGCTAGTCATTGATGAGACAGTTAGAATTTCCAGGCTTCTATAAATGACAGATTAATTAAACAGTTGCAGTTTCCATTATTTTCCATAATGTTTTTGCTAAATCTCCTATAAAATGTATCATACAAAAGAAAGTGGTCATCTTCTAATGCCATTTGTTGTGATAATAATGGGAAAAAGTTATGCAGGTTAACTCTGTCACAAGCTCTACTGCAGAAAAAGCTTCTGAAAATTTATTAAAAAACCTTTTTTACTTCTGCATAAACTTTAACTTAAGCCCTAAACTGTATCATTTTAAGATTATGCCAAATCCCTTTGTTAATGGTGAATTTTATTTTTTTTTTTTTTCAGGTGAGAGTTGATAAAATTAGGGCAAATTACTTGGTTAGTGACCACTAGACTAGGTCAGCTTCTAAAAAGACACTAAGAGCTTAGGCTTTCACTCCAGTTAGACTGATTTGTACATGTAAATTCATTATTGGTAGAATCATAGAATCATGGAATTGTTTTGGTTGCAAAAGACCTTTTAAGATCATAGAGGCCAACTGAAAACCCGAGTGCCAAATCCACCACTAAACCATGTCCCTAAGCACCTCATCTACACATCTTTTAAATACCTCCAGGGATGGTGACTGAAGCACTTCCCTGGGCAGCCTGTTCCAATGTTTTATAACCCTTTCAGTGAAGAAATTTTTTCTAATAGTATCCAATCTAAACTTCCTCTGGCGCAACTTGAGGCCATTTCCTCTTGTCCTATCACTTGTTATTTGGGAGAAGAGACCAACACCCACATTTCCACGCCCTCCTTTCAGGTAGTTCTAGAGAGCGATAAGGTCTCCCCTCAGCCTCCTTTTCTTGACTGAACAACCGCAGTTCCCTCAGCCGCTACTCATAAAACTTGTGCTCTAAAGTCTGAGGATTTAGACCTTTGAAGCTGAATCAATACCTATTTACATTTACATGGAACAACTCTTAACATTCAGGGAACTGAAATAAAAAGGTTTGAAAACAAAACTTCCAAGACTAGATTTTTAAAATACCTTTTCACAACTCAGAGGGAAAAGGCATCCCTAACGCTTGAGCTGCAAACTTCTGTACCACTGAGGTTACTTTTTTTTGTCTTACGTTCAGAGTTTGATCTTCATGCCTTTTTTTTGTTGTTGTTGTTGTTTGGTGTGGGTTTCTTTAAAAATGTTTTTGCAACTTCCAGGAGCAGCATTCCTGTCTATTACAACAATTTATGCAGAGAGTGGTTCAGGATTTGTGTTGCCGAGCGCTTCTGCCAAAGCTGGTGTAGAAGCAATGAGCAAGTGAGTAATACAGCAAAATGTGTTCTGCTTTTCACATCCTTGAGAAAGGGTAATTGGTCTATAAAAATTGAGCTAGTTGGTATAGTCCTCTTATTCCATTGTATCATGAGAGAACCTTCCAGCCTCCAGTATCCTGGCAAGAAAATAGCATGCTGACAGCTTCTTAGAGAAGGAAGTATTAACTTCTATTATTGTGATGATTTTTATCACAAGGATGAGATAAGGACAAGTGGAATTACTTCTTTTGGCAATGGCAAGTTCTAAAGTTTCAATTACACAGTTTCAATTATCAGATTCTCTTGCATTCTCATAAGCGAACCAGCGCTGACAGACAGTTATTAGGGGAACTGTTGGAGGTCTATAGTGCCTTCCACTTTCTTTTGCCTCAGGAAGAGGTGTACTTGTATTTGGATGGAGTATACTGTTGCTTCACCTATCTAGTTACATAAAGAAATGTGTTTTCTATCAGTATTTTAAATTAAAGTCTGCAGTTTTGCTTAATTCAGAGTAGTATAATATGACGTATCCATGATAGGATACAAACAAAACAAACAAAAAATGAAAACAAAACCAAAAGGATTTCTATCATTATTAACTATAGGGCAATCCTTCATAGCAAATGTGGGACTCCTCTGCACTTTGACAGAAGGAATTGAATAGTTTGGCAGCCTTTTAGTAACTATAATTCTTTATCCAGAAAAAAATGAGGGAATGGGTGATGGTCTTGATTTCTGTGCTATAGAGCTGTAACTGAAGTGTGTACTTTTCAGAGACTTTATGACTCAGCTAATTCATTCACCTTAAAAGACAATCTGTATGAAGTAGTGCTTATGCAAAGAAAATGTTACCATAAAGCAAAATTATTCTACTGTTCCCATTATTGAATGTAACCTCTGTTTTGTGCTATTTCAGTATTAATGTTGAAAATGTTAGAAATGTGCACTTGTGGGACAGTCTGAATTACCAGAGAGGGATGTTGGCGCAACAGCTGTTTGTCAAGGAATTTAGGTGCCAAAATCATCTGTATGATTTGTGAAGGAGAAAGATTTGCTCCTTAATGCTTTTTTATCTTTGATGCATCTATTACATTAATATTCGTCTGTGAATGTGATTTTTTTTTTTTTTTTTTTTCCTCTGAAATCTTTTTGTTAAGAGCAAAAAACCACTTAAGTAGAAATGCCTGTTTCAGGAAAATTCTAGTATTTACACGTTTGGTTCATTTTTTTAAATGAATAACATTATTAAAATATTGTGTTTAAAATACTGTTGCATTCTGTTAATGAATTTTTAGGTCTCTTGCGGCTGAATGGGGTAAATATGGCATGAGATTCAATGTGATTCAACCAGGTCCAATAAAAACAAAGGTACATAGCATGAAGTGAAACACAGCCTTGAATATGCTTTGTAGTACAGAGTTAACTATAAGATAAATCTAGTCTTTTCTGTAACAGTTAAATTCAAGTTAAGATTTCCTTGGTGGTCAAGACTGTGCTGGAATATTGAACATGCTGCCTCTCAATAGTTCTTTTGTAACAGAATTTCTTGAACTTCTGAAACCTGCCACTGCCCCATCTACTACACTAATATAAATGAAACCTTTTTTTTAATGTTTGAAAGAAATGATATATCAAAATATTTAATGTTAATTCTTATCAACTATATGTACCTAGTTTGTCAAGTGAAGTGAATTCACACTTGGTGGAGAGAAAGTGCCTATTTCTGCCTGGACTCCTAATTTTTAAACAAAGCATCTCATAAATTCCAAAATTTCAGAATCTTTTAGGTATATGAGAGCAGAATCTCACTACTTTTGTTGAAAGTCGCAAAACTAGGAAGAGAAAACCTTAAGTCAGCAAGGAAATATGAAGCTTTAATATGAGTGAAAAGGAGAACTGGAGAGTTTGAAGGAAGTAATCCAGACCAGCTGGAACAGGAAGAAAAAATAGCAGTCCTGCAGGAGGAGAGGGGAGGATCTGTTTCCCATTGAATCCAAATGTTACAATTATGAGCAGTAACAGTTAATAATGGTATTACTACTACCTGTAAAATGTTTCACAGTTGGTTTTGCTGCTGTTTTGGAGGTAGGGATGCAGTTGCTTCTTTTTTTTCTTCTTTTTCTTTTTATTTCCCTTTTTTCCTTTTCTCAGTATTAGATGCTACATTGGACAGCTCAGTTTTACCTTTGTTGACTGTAAAGAAAGATAAGTGACAGTATCAGCAGAGTTGTAAGAATATTGAAACATCACAGGATCAGATACCACCTTGCATCTGGTGGAATTTTAGGCAGGAGTAGAAGAAAAACATTTAATGACATTTCTTCTTTATGTCTCCAGCCTCTGACAGTCTGTGGCCCAGGGATTTTGATACAGTTGATATCTCTTCATATTGTAACCATCTTGATGGGTTTTTTTCTTCCGTTGGTCTGCACTGTTCCTTTTTGATACCATATAAACGTTTGTCGTACACTATATCATGTGGCAAGATCACTCTGATTTACAGATTGTCATAATTTTTGGCAAGTTAACTGCTTTAAATGTCAATATTGCCACCTCCCATTAATGTTTCTGATTTAAACTAATAGTATATATTCCACTTGAGAGGCTATGTGTTCTTAATGAAGTACTACATTCCAAGTTAAAATTTCCCTGAAAGCATAAAAATGCAGACTGGCTTTACTTAAAACAGTGTATTGCAAAATCAAGGCTTTCTGCCTTAGGGACTACACCCACGTCTTTAAAAAACACTGTTGCAAGTCATGATAGGAAAAGGAAAAAATGTACAAGTGCAGTACTGTTAAGCTTGTAAACTGACATTTAAAAACATGGCAATAGAAGACTTAAATGGTGTGAATAAAGACATGATTAGATAAATTACAATGAGCTTTAACTCTCATAACTTCAGTAACTTAACTTAAATGTTACTTATAAATTTCTGATTTTGCCTGAGGAGGTTGTTTCTTTGTGGAGGAGCCAGGGAGAACAAAAAAATTCTTCTGTTTCCCATGCCATTCTAAACTATTCAAATACTAAAACTTCCAGTGACTTAGTTGAGTTCTAGCCATAGGTGCAATTTAACTGAACTTGATTTTTTTTTTTTTCCTCTTTTCAGGTTTATTTTGTGTCATGTGTAATTTTTCTGTCACTTTTCTGCTCCTCTTCTCTCCTTGTTCCTCTCCCCTGTCCATGCAGCAACTTTGATTCTCGCTTATTTCCTCAAGTTTTTATCAAGAGTGTTTGGGAAACAAAGATTATTAACCCCTTTTGTTTTTCATAGATGATGGTTGACTATCCCAAACTTATTAAATTCCAGTTTATCACCCCCAGTAGATGCTTATCAGTGGAACAGGGATAAATTCAGTTTTCTATTCTCTGCTTCTTTTTCATCCTACTGATAAAGATGGTGTAGACAGTTTACTTACAAATGTTAACTTCCTTATTGTTTGTGAAGAGTCAGATCTCTGTTGGATTTTAATTTCTGATATAGTTGGTTTTTGGTTTTGTGGTTTTGTTTTTTTTTTTCCCCCAAAAATGTTTCTCTGAATTTTCAGGGTGCTTTTAGCCGCCTTGATCCAACAGGCACATTTGAGAAGAAAATGATTGAGAGGATTCCCTGTGGCCGTCTGGGAACTGTAGAAGAAATTGCAAATCTTGCTGCCTATTTCTGCAGTGACTATGCAAGCTGGGTTAATGGAGCAGTGAGTTTTGGTTCATCTTGTTTATACAATTAACCTGATGATAGTCTGAGTTTTGCTGATATTTTTTTAAAGCCCTGGTTTCAGAATTGAAACAAAAACTGTTACTTTGAAATTCTTTGCAAACATTCTTACCCTTTTAATTGTAATGCATGGTAGTTAGTACCTTTAAAAAAAACTTCTAAAAATTATTGAATTACATTATTTTGAACATGTTTTTTTCTGATCCAAATCAATAAAAATTACTTTTATAGTTCATAACAAGGGAATGCTACAGAAAAATCACCATTATTAAGTAAACTGCTTATGCTTTTTCTAGGTAATTAGAATGGATGGTGGAGAATATGTTTCTATGGCAGGAGAATTCAATGACCTGCACAAGGTATTAAATTATTTGCTTGCTATTTTACATTCAAACAAATACTTAGATGTGTAATTATTAAATGGAATTCCAATAAAATGTTCTTTTCTTTTATTAGGTTACCAAAGAGCAGTGGGATATGATGGAAGCAATGATTAGAAAAACAAAAGGCTCTTAAAGTACGTTATGGTGGAGATTTTTGGAAATTAACCACTACTTTTTTATTAATATTTAGAAATAACCAATTAAGAAATAGCCTTCAAAATCTTTTGTATACTGATTTAAATAAAATATTTTGAAGTTGTCATTTTTTTAATATAGCATGTATATTTTTCCCAACTACAATCTAATCTATTGCCAATAGTGAACAACAGTTGTTCATTGAAATTTTATTGTTATTTAGATTATGTCTTAAATAGCCATGCTGTGGTCTACAATTAGCTTTTTCAGACTTTTTTTTTTTTTCCTCAGATATGTGCAAGTCTCTTTTAATGTGATAATTCTAATAGTGTTTCAGGACTATCATAACTGAATGTAATTGTTAATCTGAGGAAAAATTTAAGAGATTAAGTTCTAATCTTCACACTTCAGTAATAAATCGTAAACTTGCATATAACAAAGTTTCAGGGTATCAGCAGGACTTTATACACTGAGATAGGATGTAACTCCTGTGGTTACTTACAAAGTCTTGAAATACCTGACTGTCTTGGTCTCATCTTTTGCTGACATTTTCAGTCTGTTAATTATCTTATCCTGAACTTTAAAAATGACATTTAAGGATTTGCAATGCCTTTCTGAGGAGTTCACTCTTTGTCATGATTAAGTTAACGTTCTTGAAAATGAGAAACTAAAAATCATTTGCTGTTAATGTATGTGGGACTAAGCGAGTCTCTCCATAAAAAATGGTTTACTTAAGACTGGTAAAGGACATCAGTAAATGGGCACTGAAAGTGTTGAAACCTCATTGGTTGAGATTTACAGAAGTCCCTGGGTTTCATTTGCATTCAAAAACTGGTACTAAAAAAGAAGCCTTAAGATGGCATTACCTCTGAATCTAGTCAGTTTATCCATCCCAAATAAGCAGATGATGAAAAAAACAAACCCAAAAACCCTCCAAAACCCCACACAAAACCAAACAAACAATGTTTATTGCTGTCCCTGTTTTAGTATTAGTGCATTTTCCAGTTTAGGGAGTTGCCAGTTATTTGTCCCCCTTGCTTCAAACAACGGATGGAATTCTTCAAAGAAATTAACAGGCTCTGACCTTTACAGCCTGAAACCCATGCCTTTTTTTTTTTTTTTTTTAATTTGTTTAACCCAAGCTCCAGACTGTCCACACATACAAGCATGGACATGGCTGTATGTGTTTTGAAATTGATACAGTGATTTAAGGGTCAGGAATACTGAAGCAATTCAAGGATGTCTTCCTTCAAGTGTGGGCAGCGGTCTTGTCACTTTACCCACACTTCAGGCCATACTTACGTATGCCAGCATCTGACTTTGAAATCATTTGATTGCCTTAATACAAAGCTGAAGCAAACTAATATATGTTCTACTGAAAGGTTGGACTATATTAGTGCAGGCTTCCACATGGCAGCTTTCTCCTGAGAGTGATGGCCCTACGGGAAGTTGAATAGCATCTGTGCCACTGATAGTAAAATAAAGCAAATATGTTTATCATAGCAGCCTTCAAGCTGTCTCTTGAACATAATGTAAAGCTTTTTTGTTGTATCTTGGGTTTTGGTAGGTCTACTGTCAAGATCAAATTCTGACATATCTTTAGCTTGGAGAAGAGACGACTGAGGGGTGACCTTATTAATGTTTATAAATATGTAAAGGGCAAATGTCACGAGAATGGAGCCAGGCTCTTCTCAGTGATGCCCAATGGTAGGACAACGGGCAATGGGTGTGAGCTGGAACACAGGAGGTTCCGCTTAAACTTGAGAAGAAACTTCTTTACAGTGAGGGTGACGGAGCACTGGGACAGGCTGCCCAGGGAGGTTGTGGAGTCTCCTTCTCTGGAGACATTCAAAACCCACCTGGACACCTTTCTATGTGATCTCATTTAGGTTCCTGCTCCGTCAGGGGGATTGGACTAGATGATCTTTTGAGGTCCCTTCCAATCCCTAACATTCTGTGATTATGTGACAGTGTTATGATTTAGTGAACTGCAAGCAACTACTACAAAACTTTTTTTGAAAATTCATTCTGTGATTCTGTAATATCCATGTCTCTTCCCCAAAAAGTGATTTAATTGGGGTTAGGCATGTATATACTGTTGTTTGCTTGTTGTCCTTTGTGTATACTTACATTTTCTCTTTGTATGGGTCACAGTTGTATATAAGGCTTTGACTCTTGGAAAAAAAAAAAGTGTATATGAATAAAAATTAAAAGGCATGTTTGTGAGCTGTGGTCTGATTAAGTATTTCTCTGTGGTATTTAGTAGAGTATCCTCTGGAGATGGGCTGTCAATAAAAATACGTTCCAACTGGTCTCTTGGATCAATGGGTGTGTACAACTTTTACTATAGGGAAGATTGTCATGTGGTTGTAGTACTGGACTGAGACTGAAGATGACCATGTACAGTCTCCAACATTGTCACAGGCTTTTTGGGACTTTAAGTTATTTCTGTTGCTTCTGTTGCATCTGAACAGCAAGGCAGGTACACTTTGCAGCATTCCTTCAGGAAGTGGTGATCTGAAGCAGGGTGACTGGCACATTCCTTTTAGCTCACAAAACATAGGTCCTGGGTGGGGCACAGCTGGAAAAGATCAAGAAAAGAGGCATGTTCTCAGTCTCAACATTAAGTTAGGATCAAGTCTGTACTTGGCTTTGGGGGCTAGAAAGCACTGCTGGCTGCCACATGTTCTAAATCCGTCTCTCTTCCCTGCATATAAAATGATAGTAACAATACTTTTGTTTTTAATCTTGCATACATTTTTTATAATCCTATGTACTATTTAATGTATTTTTTCGACATTGAAAGCAGAGGCATCTTTTTGGTGAGGGTAGGGTGAGATGAAAGAGGAAGGGCAGAGGAGAACAGGGGTATAAGCTTAGCCCAGCTACAGTTCTTTTTTTCCAAATATTTCAGCAGTAGGTACTGCAGTGCTTAGGTATAATGCCTACTGGCATAGTAAATGTCAGAAATCCATTCTGTGGTTTAAACACACAGACCCACTGTTCTTTGGCTCAGTATTGCTTTGCCTGTTTCTGTCCTTTGTTTAGAAAATAAACTTTTTGGAGCTCAGTTCAGAAATGTTTCTTTTCCACAGCAAAAGGCAGTTGGTTCCTGTGCAAAAGTACTTAAAGAATTTAAAGTGCTGTCTCAGTCCTGACCTAAAATTGAAAAATGGAAAGATCTTTGTCTTTCCTTCATTGCTTTACTCATCAGAGAGATTGAGGCCAACTTTACATCTGGGAGAAACTCGCTTTAATTCATAGTGAGCCTTTCAGGGACTGGAGCGCTTTTCTGAACCATCAGAGTTATTGGAATGTGTCCTTTAGGGGTGGGGGTTTTTTGCCTTATTTGATAAGGTCAGAATATTGAAGGGAGGCTCTTAAATCCTGTCTTGTAAATAAATACTGGGTGTTTATTCAGTCAGTAACAGAGTATTTATCACTTGCAGAAACAGGTATTGCTTCTGGAGTAGCTTCTTCTACCTCTTTAACATAGCTAAATGAATTTTTAATTGTAAAGTGACAACAAAACATTTTAAAAGCATACGTTATTCAGTGATAGAACCAGAAAGCATATTTTAAATTTTAATGAGCATCTATAATAAGAACAGAGTCTATTTTGTCTTACCTATACCAATGACATTCATTTCAGACTATGCAAGTTAGTTGCTTTTATATTCTGAACATTCTATCTTGACAAGATATATACAATGTGTTGATGCAGGTTTTAGAAATGGCGTGTATTTTTTTAGAGAGTTACATGTTACAGGTTAGTTTATAAAGTATTTCCTAATATAGTGAAAAAACTGAACTCTGAGCCATCCACTTTTGCAGGAGAATTAAATAGTCTTGATTTAGATTAATTTCCTTTATTAAAAGTTGTTAGACTTTTTAGGGACAGGAGAGGAACATTACTATGAATTCAGAGATGAATCTTCAGGATCTCAAGTTTGTTTTACCTAAATACAATTTAATTGTTTGTTACTAAAGTAGCAACGCATGACATCAGAACTTGGGAAAAGGACAAGAGAAAGTAGCTTTATAGTGACTACCTAACCCGGGTTGTGTCTGGCTTGGCTTGAAAATTCCAAAAGAGCCTGTTTCTAAATGCCCACAAGGATGAGACTATCCTGAAAGAGGATTAAAATATCCCTAAACCCCAAGAGGTGCCCAATCCATAAGCATGCTCTGCGGCTCTGCGTTGCACACACTTAACACAGGCTGACATAAAGCATAGTCATCACAGCTACTTTATTCGAAACATAACAAGAAGGGTAGGAGATAGTATCCACATTGAGTATCCACAAATATGTCTTACACTGACATATTTGCCCCGAAATTGTTACATTCTTGACCCTACCTCAGATTGCCAGTGAGTCACAATGTAAAGGGGATTATGAAATGGTGTTGCTCTGCAGCATAATAATTCTATGGAGATGAAGTTGGAGGGACAAGAAAGTGGAGCAGTGAGTCAGAAAAGGGGACGGTATATATTGGAGATCGTGAAAGGAGTTGCTAGGGTTGCAGAAGCGGTTTAATTTTCATGGGTTTACATGGAAAACTTTCCTGGGATCCAAATACCTAAATAGCTTTTTTAAAATTATTTTTGCATGACCCATCAATCAAAGGTGTTATCACTTCCATGAGCTCATCTTAGAGACACTCATAAGCGGGGATTCATTGTCTGTTTTCAACTGAAAAGTACATTTTGTCTGTCTGATTAAATCTTGAAATTACCCTATTTATTTCAGTTGGTGATTGACTGTCTTTGAACCTATTACAATTTCTTAGATTAATTCTGTGCTGTAAAAGTGGTATTATAGTAAAGGCTTATAAACAAGTTGTAAAAATCATGTGAGGTTACAAGTGAAAGAGATTAGTTGTATTACCTCTTTGCTATGATACCAGAACTGCTGTCAGTCTTTGGTTCTCCTGTTTCTGGGAATTCCCTCCTCTTGAATATTTAAATAACTGTTGAGAATATTGCTATTATTTACCAATTCAAGAATCTGCTTTACAAGCAGAAGATGATGCTGTTTGAGGGAACTATGGGTTCCTACCTGTCCATGCTGGCTTCCAAGTTCATTGGCACATGAACTGATCACTCATCTTTACTTTTGTTCGCATGCTGATAACATGTAAGTAAAGACACTGACTTGCAAGGAAATTTGTACCAGTCTCCATGGAGCATCTTGTGTTGTAGCTGCTAAACGTGTAACCCCACTTTAACTGCTGTAAAACCTCCAGTCTTTTATGTGATAATTTAATATGCAGTAAAATAAAACGTTCTTTGGGATTTCAGTGCATTGGCCTGTTTTTATTTGGTGCAGAGCAACTTCAGTTGCTGTCAGAGGGATTTGGAGGTGTGCAGCACTTTGGAAAATCAGGCCATGTATATTTGGGTGCCTAAATATGGATTCTGAGGTGCCTCACCAACACAGCAAGTAAGTGTGGATTTCAGTATGCCTCCATAACCAGTGATTATAACCATTATGATGATGAGGGCTGAGTATAAGTGCACAAGATGCAAAGTGGAAATTAATCACAAAAAGCAAACATTGTCTAATGAAACAAAGGCTTAATCCTACTTTAAGTGGAGCTTAGCAGCAGTGTATGTGTATTTTGTGAGATGAGTTTCCTTTTATGTGAAAACGCTGCTGGCTGTCAGCATCCTGATCTGTGTTTGAGATTTGCACATAAAATGTGCTGTTTAGAAATTTCATAAGCTTGTGTGGGTAGTCTTTTCAAAGATGCATAACTAAGCTGTAAACAGGGGGAATTAGACCAGTGCAATGATGCTGTGCATGAACTGCTCAGGATAGAACAGTGCAGCAGTGAACAAAAGCCATATGGCTCACTTCAAGGCCTGTTGTTGAATCCTGATTAAATTGTTGGTGAAAATTAGCATGATATTCTCCATAATGGGCAGTGATTTCTGAGTATTTAATAGCTTGAGTGCTTATTTGCAGAGTTATTTTAGTAAAATATGTATTTTTACACAGTAAAATGGTTAATACTTCATTGAAGTGTATCCCAGGTAGCTACATGTCAGTCAGTTTCTCTGTTCAGCAGCAATATCTGCACTACCTCATGAAATTAATTTTTGTGCATGCTATGATTTTTCTTTCAATCTTTTTTTGGTCACTAGATGTCTACCAGAAGAAAGAAGCTTTCAGTCTTCCCTTTCATCACCTCTCTTACCCCCAAGCCTCATTCGGCCCCAGCCCTAACATTTTTAAGAGCTCTGCCCAGGAGTGTTTTAAGAGATTTTAAAACCTGGAGTTTTTACAGCAGGTTTGACTTATACTCATAATTGACTCACTTTGTTTTGCACTGACATAGTAGACACCTTTGCTAGAACTGGGTTTTTAAATTGCTGTCTTTTAATCCAAGTTTTATTTATGAGAAATAACTGCAGGAAACCTTCTGCCTCTGGGTGACTGAGACCTGCTTTCTGTGTCGTGCTCTGCAGCAGAGCAAGCTGGTGGGCAGCAGCGGTAGTAGAAGGGTGGCTTCAGAACAGATCTGTGACAGGTAACTTCTCAGGTAACAACTCATGTTCAGGAAGACAGACTCCAGGTTTTGTGGTGGCTTTTTGTCAAAACACTTCAAACGCTTTATCTTCCACTGTAATGATTTTAGCAAACACTCACATCATGTTTTTACATACAATTTTTTGTTTTTTTCCTTTACCTTTACACTTTTAAAATGTTAATATAAGGCAAAATCCGGGGTTTCAAGTGCACAGTCTGAACAATAACAATCATTTATTGTAGTGATAGGCAGATTCACTGTTTCTTCACTTAACATACACAATTGTATTTCACATTGCATAGAGAAAAGAGAAGAACAAGCAGGCGAGAGGTTAAATCACTGTGCACGGAGTGGGAGTCAAGCGGTGAGAATGAGCTAGCTTCATCTTACTTTGTTTTGTGTCTTTTCAGCAAGATCCCATCTGACACTACCTACTCCTTAACTTCCCAAGGCTCAGACTGGAGAGAGCCCGAGGCCATTAGGCCATTCCTGAAATGGTATTTAGTTGCCTGAGTTCACCTGAGGAATTCAAGGATTCATTTCAGTGGGAATTCAGTGACTGTAATCTTGAAGGATCTTGGCCTCATTTTTTGAGACACATTTCAAATAAAATGCATTTGCTTCTGAAACAGTTGTATATGGAGGCAACACAGGTTTATTGGCTTTAAGACACAGCCAAATTTCCTTCCTACACCAGTTCATACTGGGAGCAATGACCTGGACATTCATGGAGTTGTCTGTCATAGAACTGATGTAAAGTAAAAAGGGAGTCAGGCCAAAAAAAATAAAGATGCAAGAAGACAGGACTGTTTCCATAGTATAGTTGCCATTTAAAAAATATCTCTCTAGCATAATCAAAAGCAGAGCCCACCATGTATAAATTGGTATAAAATCTTTTTGCTTCATTTAGTGTTAAATTTTAATACTATTATTATAGGTTAGGAATTCAGTGTGAGATCCAAGGAGGCACATTTTTTTTACATAGTTGTTTTGTCCTTTACATGGTACAGAATAAGAATCCAGGAGATAGACAAACTAGACACCAACAATCTTAGGATATTAAATTTAATTATAGATTACACAGAATATGATGTAAAAACAGCAATTTACTAGAATAATTATAACCTGTAAAATGTGAAAATAGTTTAGAAAATGGATTGTCATATTCTCTGACACAGCAATAGTCATGAAAGGTACACTTATAATATCATATGTTAATCTGTGTATTAACTATACTACCTGCCTTTTAGCCAGGATTCCCAGACAGATTAAAGGCATTTATTTCTGAAGTGCCTATGTTTAAATTCAGTAAAGTTAAACAACTAGATTGAAAACACTATATTTTTGTCAACTACTGCATGGAGATCTATCCCAGATAAATGCTTTGTCTATATGCTATGAGTTTGTAATGAGAACAGTAATTGAAAAACTGCAAAGAGCACAGACCTGTAAGTGAGTGGTTTGACAACTGGAAATATTTCTTAGCGCCTTGTTAAATGCCAACATCTCTTTCCTATTTCAGACCTAGATCATATTTAATCTGAATTCATGTTTTGCATTAAAAAAAAAACAAAACCAAAAAACATTGTAATGGGCAAAGATATCTGTTGACCTTTTTGTTACATAATTCAACAGGAAATGTTGCAAGTGTCGAAGGTTTGATGATGACAGCAATGTCAGCAGGTTTAATTTTTTTCCAGCCATGTTTATGAAAGCAAAAAAAACCAAAACAAAACCAAAACCAACCCCAATATATTTTAGGTTCTTTTTGAATATACAGACTGGCCCAAACATAGACATTCTCTTTATCAATCTTATTGTTACAAAAACTGTACATTACAAACAGTATAGAAACAAACTGAAAGGAATGTGCCACACATCCTGGCTAATTTTCTATATGCAGTTTAAAAATACAGCCTACTCCCTTATAGTGCACAGTTATTGTGTAGATAAGAGTACATCACTAGTTAAGAAGACATGATAGAAGAGTTCTAGTTTTCCTCAGCACAGAGAATAAGAGCCAGTTCTGCTCGGTAAAGCTTTCCTCCATCAGACAAGGCCATGATGTTTTTCTTGTATGTCGCGAGGTTGTTAATGTCTAATTCCTATTTAAAGAACAGATAATGCTTTATAATTCTGTTTAGTTACCAGCATGAACAAGTTTGCTTCCAATGGCAGAAAATGAGGCGGGAAAAAAGGGTATTCTCAGCCTGTCCAACAGTAACACATTGCAAATATTTATGTATTTGTATGTTATCCATATATACAGCCATATGTTAGACTGCTGATAGCTGATGTCTCAGAAGCAAGCTTTTGACAGTGTTGCTGTGTAATCACAACTCCCCTAGTTCAGCATTTACACTGCTATGACTTCTGCCAAGATTTTCAGTTGTACTTTGACTTCAGGAATTATGACTTAGAAGCTCTATATTTATCTTAATGGGGTGGATTAAAGTGTCCTTAAATTCCAAATTAAATCTAATCTCTAAGGGGAAACAAGCCCTCTAGGATTACCTTTTTGTTCTTTTCACAGAGATCCTTCAGTAGTGCATCAAGTTCATGTTCATCTATATAGCCATTGCCATCCTGAAAAATAATGTTAAAGATAATTTTAAACATTTATTTTTCATTTCAGAGGTTATGGCTAGTTTTCCACAAATTCAGAAAATAAGTGCCATCAAACTACGCAGTTAATAACAAGTTTTTTTGAAGACTTACTTGATCATACATCTCAAAGGCTTTGTTGAATTCTTTTGCACACATTTTGACACCCTAAATGCCAAAAGGAAAAAACATCCATTAATGACACCAGTTAAGTGTGATGGTAACAGGTTACCTTAAGAATGTGAATATTCATACCTGAAATTTAATAAGAAAATTTTCCTGTACAGGGAGTAGTCTTTGGAGAGAAAAAACAAAGGTCAAAATACTTAAATGTTGCCATAACAGCAACTGGTACATGGTATTTGTTGTGAAAAGAGAGAGAAGACATACCTGGCCAGTTCAGTAAGCTCCAACTTTCCATCATTGTTTGCATCAAACATCCTGAGCTGAAAGAATATATAATTTTACATTACTAATCAAAATTAATCAATATAATGAAGAAAACACTTCTTTGGAAAACTTAAATTCAATGAAATGTAGCCTTTATTTCATGCTGAAATTATGGCCCCAGGTTTGAATCTGTCCCATTTGCTGGCTAATACATTTATTTGCAGTACCAACTAAGTAATTTATAGTAAATAATTCTACTGCAAAACTCTGTTAAGAAACCAGCTGAACAATTCTGATTAACCTACTGGAAGGTAGGTCTTAACCTGCCTACAGTGATGAATGTCTCATATGAGAAACATACAGGTAATTATTTATTAATGAGAGGAGTGTTGACATGATAACATTTTACTTTTGACTTCATGTCATGATCTGATAATAGCATCATTATTTTCTATTCATAAAGGTGAAACAACAGTCGGGTAGAGCATTCAGTTCCTTAGACAGAAAATAATAGACATTTCATTCAATTGGCTGCTGGGTCTAAATATTTAAGTAAAGACCACATTCTCTTTCTGTCATGTCTTTCAAGAAAAGAGTGAACAGATGCTGTAGATGATCACATTTTGTTGATGGTGTGAAAGTGGGAAATTTAAGCTCTCCAAATAATTATAATTAAATTATAGGAATAACTATATTAATGTAATTTGGCAAAATAAGTTAATACAATTTCTAATAATTTTTAATCACCCTATTGTATTAAAGTGTTTTCCTTTGAGGCATTGAAAGGAGGAGCTCCTGCTGCTTGAAAAGCATAAACAGTTTATATTTGTTATTAGAGGTAGATGGTGATATTGCACGTGTGGGACTTCTTTTCCCAGTTTTTATGTCTATGTGGTTCAATTTTTCTACTTTCAAGTAGTATTTTACCTTTGCTACATGAAAGAGTCACAAAAGCAGCAAACGGTACAAAACATTGTTAAGCATTGTACTCTAAACACCACCACCCACACTCCATCCCATCACTTTCAATCACAGTAATTTTAGACGTAATTTTTAGAGAAGAGGAAAAGCATTATCCTGTACTAAGTATATTTCCTTTTAAAGACAGAATTAATACCATGAGAAAAGACCTAATTTCACTTGCTCAATACACAATAAATGGCAGAGGAGACCAGAAAAGAGACTAATTCTATAAGCATTTATTTCTACATAACACCCTGGTTCCTTTTAAGACTTCCTTTCCTTGTCTAAACGCATCTGCCTTGCATGCATTTCCTCTCAAAGGAGATTTGCATTTGGGGGAGGTACACAGTGGCAGCTGTGAAGTCAACATATTTTGTATTTTGGTGGGTTGTTAGTGGCTGGCTGTGCCTGCATGCAGCTGCTCGGGGCCGTACATTTTCTATTAATCTTATTTTCTAATTTCTGAGGAGATTCTGGGAGAGTTGGCCTTATTTTTTTTTTTTTTTCTTATTGCTGTTAATTCCTTGTCATTGTGTCTCTCTGCAGAGAACTTAGAGCACACTTTAAGATGAAGGTCAAAAAGCTCTCTGAGTTAAACAGATATGTGTCATATTTGCCAGTGAATAAACAGTGACAATTCTAAGTAAATTGTTTATACCAGTACAAACCTAGCACATTCTTGATTGCTAAAAATATTTTAGGATGAGAGTAAGTTGGTAAAACAAAAAATGTAGTGTTATACATTTCCTGAAGACAAGACTTACGAGTCTTCTTTATGTTGAAATGTCCACTCAGAAGCCAGTACTGGTCCCTACCATGGAGCACCGCAGGTGTGGGATGGAAGGAGTGCCCCAAGAACAGGCTGATTTAAGGTCAGGGAAGTGACAGTTTTTTTCTAGTGTTTATCTAAAACATAATTTTCTCCTTCTTAAAGGGAAGAAGGAGGAAAAAAGGAGGTGTTTGTAAATCTCATAAGAAGCCACCATGCAGTGATGGCTTTTAAGACAAGAGACAGACACTACTGCACTGTAAGAAGGCAAAACTTAGAAAGTAACACCAAATTAATTTGATCTAAACAAAATAATGTAATTAGGACAGGTACAATTTTTTTCCTATGAACTGTGAAGGCTTCAAGTTTACAACTAATGGCACAGGGAAGCATAACCAGGGAAAATAGTATGGTACAATCTGGTATTATATAAATACCAAGAAGATTCAAAATTCCTGAGTTGTTTGGGGTTTTTTTGCTTGTTTTGAGTTTGGCTTTTTTTTTTAAACAACACTGAAAACTACCCATCAAAGCTCTGTAGCTGCAAAAGTACTCGCAGTGCTAGATGCTGTGGTCGTCTCTCTGTTGCAATGACATAGTCAGCCTGATTGGGACCTGGTGGGGCTCCAAGTCATTTGGAGCCTTCCAGTGGCTAAAGATAAACAGAGTTTGGATTAATCCAGTCTTGATGAAATATGCCTGTAAATAATCTTACCATTATTTCTGTGTATTCTGTTAATTTTGAGTCTTCAATCTGCTTGTTAGCTTTCTGTAATAAATCTTTCAAGAAGCTCTGTTAAAATAAATAGAAGAGTAATAGGTGAATTTTTATCTACACTATAAAATTCTTGACTTGCTAACTTCAGATTAAACAAATGAGAAATACTATTTTACTCCCACTTCGTTATCTACTGCTGAAGTCCCAAATAAGTACGAAAAGAAGTAGTAATTAACAGCTAAGAATATAACAGTTTATTTTGATCAATTCAAGTATATTGCACAATTTTATTTGGAAAAAGTGACTCAGAAAACTTTGTATGCCATTTGTGGTATTGTGAATTTGGAAAAAAATAGTTTGGCTTTCAAGTATACTGCTTCCTAATCAGTTCTATCAGAAAACTAAACTAATTAACCTTGAGTCTCCTTGGAAACTTGGATGCCTAATCATTTCTTGCAACATAGGAACAATTTTACAGAAAAGATCAATGATTAAACAAGTTTTCTCCTTGCCTGTGGCAGTACCCAGTACTAGAAGTGAATTTTAACCTACTCCTTCCTACCTTGTATTTTAAATGTGTGCAACCAGTTTTGGCGGATTTTTTTTTGAATCACAATTTGATACAATATCACATGACTTTAGGCACCAACCATTTTTACTTTAGAAAATCATATTTTTTTCCACCCATTCAGTGGTTTAAATTTCTGTACTAAATCTGTGACATTAAAAAAGAAATATATCTATTTAATAATGGCATTACAAGACTTGAGATGTCTATATGTCTGTCAATACTCAATGAAGTACCTAATTACTGTAATCAGTGGGAGTGTCATTATATTTGTGGAATTTTGGGCCACATTTCAAGACTAAAAAAGCAGAATAGCTCAAGGGAACTGTGAAAAATGTCACTTTTCTACTCAGAGTCTGCTGTGTATGAGCATCTCTCCTAGGAAGATGGGCTGAGAGCTGGGACTGTTCAGCTTGGAGAAGAGAAGGCTCGGGAGACCTCATCAACATATATATATACTTCACGAGAGGGTGCAAAAAGAACGGAGCCAGACTGGTGCCCAGTGACAGGACCAGAGGCAATGGACACAAAATGAAACACAGGAGGTTTACTCTGAATGTCAAGGAACACTTCTTCACTGAGAGGGTGACCAAGCACTGGCATGTTTTTCCTAGAAAGTTTGTGGAGTCCTTGGAGATGCTCAAAAGCCATCTGGATGTAGTCCTGGGCAACTAGCTCTAGGTGGCCCTGCTTGAGTAGTGGGGTTGAACTAGATGACCTCCAGAGGTCCCTTCCAACCACTCTGTGGTTCTGTGACACTGTGATTCAGCATCTACACATTTCCGTTAGTTTTATGACTCTAGTTTTAAGGTTTGTTAACTCTGCAAGGCTGGGATTGCTAATGGAATAATCTTGATTCTTCTCTTATTCGTGTATATTAGAGCTGATACCAAAATCTCACCAAGTTAACCAAGCAGGGGCAAGACAATTCCACTTGTGTTAGCCTAATAATATTCCAGTGGAAACTGTAGGGTGACATGATACTTGAGAAAGTATGATGTGTCCAGCAGCATAGTGATTAATGGTAGTGATGCCCTTAGGGAAAACCAAAATATAATGAAACAAACCAACAAAAGAGCCATCCTCCCTAATACACCAAAAAAAAGAACAACAGCTTTCAGAGGCCTGTCTTGCTAAATCTTTCTTAGTGCAAAGCTAGAGTACCCACTCCCTTGAGTCATTTGAGACAAACATTGATCTGACTTAAAACACACTTTAAAAAACATTGATCAGATTAGAGTTTCTCTTTGAATAATTTACTGTCAATAAAAGCATCAACTAATCACATTGCTTTTAAATGCAAAAACATGCATGGACGGGTATCTGAAGAAACAGATAGCAGCACAGGCTGTAATCCAATGCCTGTTCTCATGTTGTGCATACTCATAGGTATTGGTTTACCTTAAGTTCCTCAGAATCAATGAAGCCACTGTGGTCACTGTCATATTTTCTCCATGTCTGGAATCAGAACATGAATGCTTTAGTGAGATATTTATGGCAAATGTGTCTCGGTTGATTTTATAAAAGGCAACTTTTCATACTGTACCTGCATGAAGTCTTCACTTGACTTTAGCTGCTGGCACCTGAAGAACAACAGGAAATTCTCTTCCGTTGGTAATATCTGAGCAAGCTATAACAGAATTTAAGAAAGATTAAATTTTGGTTCTTCATTAGGCCAACTCAGCCTGCAAAAAACCATCAAGCTATTAAAAAGACTATGAAATTCTTTGTGCTCATACTACCCGATTGTGGCCCTATAGAAAGCTTCACTCTGATAGCTGAAATGTTTGGAAGATGCCTCTGAAAGGCTTCTGGCTTGCAGCTTTGCCCTATTCATCAAGGTCAAACAGAACTGAGGTCTGAGAGAAGGGACTGAGACAACACTTTACCGAAGGGCTAGCTGGGGGAAGAGGGGAAAAAATCCCTCATGCAGAGTTAGGGTCTGTGGTGCAAACCTTGGAATCAGCATGAAGGGAAAGCATAACACAAGGACGTTTAGAGGGTAAGCGTGAAGGACCATGAACTAAGAAAGTGAGGAAAATAGACTACTCACTGATACTGAGAAAGGAGAGGAACACTGACATGAAAAACACATATGTAAGGTAAACAGAAAAATATATGTAAAAGCCAGGAGGAAAAAAAAAAGGTTGGGAGGGTAAGGGGATGGCAACCAGTGATCATTTGTCAGGCACAGAGACGTGTTCAAGAAGAGCTATAAATACCAGAAAGAAATCAAAAGGACTTTTAGCCCTGCAAAATCAGGGATGGTTCTTCCAATGCCTCTGCTCTACAAAGGCTTCTTTAAAATCAGACATTATTGTACTGATTATTGAAAATGTTAATTTACTATAACTCAATTTTGGCAAGTGACAAATGTAGAAGATGGAGAGTATGCTGTGTAATTTAATGTAAAATCATGATTTGTTTTTAACAAAAGCCCAATATTTTTTTTCTGCCCTCAATATGTATGAAATGTGTTTTGATTAAAGAAAACTTTTTACTTGAAGAATAGACCAGCTGTGCTTACTAGGAAGAGAAAATGGCGAAAGACAGATTTCTTAGCTGCATTCTTTTATGAAAAACGACATCTGCAGACTTCCTGGAGTCCCATCTTAAAATTTTGATTCAAATTGTTGTTTTTCTGCATTCATTTCACACTCTCAAATGCCTCATTGTGTCTATTTCAGTGCTACTGCCTAATTGCTGAGGCTTTTTTAGTGGGTTCCAGCAGTGCCATAGGTGAGTTCAGTTGTCCCTCTCACCCTACAGGTACAACAAGGGTATGGAGACAGATCTCCCATTTCTCTAACATTATCTGTGCAAGGAATCATAAATCAGTTATATTCTTTATGTGGCAGTACAACTGAAAATACACATCAGATCACTCTGCTTACAGATATGGTGCAGCTGAAGACAGTCAGGCCCATCAGTGTTCTGAGTGCTTTTACTAAACGGCTGAACACCAAACCCCTACTTAAACAATGTGTTTTTGTCAGCAGCTCTCGAAACCTACTCAATTATCAACAGCATATACATATGTGGGTAAGTGTATGTTCATATGTACACAATAGCTAAATGTGTGTAGCTTAGTATTGATTTATATAAAAAATTTCTTTATTTCTCCCATGACAGGGGAGCTTTGATTTTTAGAGTAAATCAACATTCCTACTCAACAACAAACATTGAATGGAAGAACTGATTATAATAATAAGCAGAGTTTGGGGGAAGGGACTGATTATGATGATTATGACAATAAGGAAAGGTTTACATATGTGGAAACTATAAAAAAGATGTCATTTGTGGGACCTATATAGCTAACTGGTGAATTTTGAAAGGGCCCTGTAAAATAGTACAAGGTGCAAGGGTAAATGTAAAATAGTAACTTCCCAAAGAATCATTAACAGCTTACTAGCATTACCAAACTCTATTAGAGGTACACAATGCAATATCTCTGGATGGAAATTACCTTATTTTAAGCTATACCTCTCACCGTTTGTAAGTCTCAGGGGAAAGCACAAGCTTTTGCATTGTGTAGTAGCTCAAAGGTGTAGTAGCTCAAAATCCAGCGTTAGTTCAGGCTTTTGCCAAAAAAGCAGTCTTTATGTTTTCATAATAGAAACAAGATAGCTAAAGGTAAGTCCAGTTCTCCAAGCTCCTGCATCCTATAGCATTAAATTGCTTTTTATGGAAAATGCTGCATTACTATGGGATGAGGAGATCATGTGGAAACTGGCTTAACCTTCCAGTCTCAGTTATGACTAGATGATCTCCAGAGGTCACTTCCAACTCTTACCATTCTGTGATTCTGTTATACCACTGCAGGGAGGAAAGATGGAAACCTGGTGCTATTTCTAATGATGACTTCTTTGTGAGGATAAGCGTAGGGGGACTCTGTCAGCGTGTTTGAATACGAGTGCAGACCTCTACAAGTTCACGTATGGAAGCAATAGCAGTTTGGTCAGTGTTTCTGTGAACTCTGCTGCTTCTATGGAGAATGTTGGCTATTTCTGCATCGTGGTAAGAGAGGGTAACCACAAGCCTGAGACTGGCTTGACTCCTCTCTGCTCAGCTGCAGTCTGATGTATGTCCTTATAAGTTACCTAGTAGAAAAAATACTCTAAAACTTAAAAGTACTCTAGTACTTAAAACAATATCAGAACTATTTTCTAGAAATAATTCTCTAAGTAAATTCTATTGATATTTAATACTATTTAAAATTCATCTCACCTAATACAGCAAATTTGCTTTTTAAAATCTTATAATAGAGAATGGGAGTACAGAGACTATTGTAGGCTAATAAGTAGTTATTCTTATGGCAGCAGTAAGCTTCAAATAATTTGAATGTGGAAATACTGCAGTCCTGAGTTTCAAAACCTTGGATTTCACATCCACATTTTAGTGAAAGCATTGGTCTGAATGAGTACAAAAGGTCAAAGAAAGGCCCCTTACACAAGACAAGCAAGTGGACAGGTGAGACTCTGCCTTGAGTTGGAGGGCACTGGATAAAGCCAGTGAAGTAACCGCAGTGTGCTTGCAAAGACAGAATTGGCACTTAATCTGAGCTGCAAATCCACTCCTTCCTCTGTGAAGCCACTCAGGCCTCCTCTTTTTCTGTCAACAAACCTTTCCTGAAAACTCATTATTCACTAGGATGTTTTCTGTCAGATGCTGGGGTATTCATTAGGATGGCTGGGAGTCTGAATGGCTTCACATAATTTCTTTTTAAACAACATACATACACTTTTTCAGAAAAACTACTTGATGTACTATGTAAATGGGAGAAATCTGGAATTACTGGGCATTTTTATTTATAAGGAAGGAGAAGCAAGTCCAAATATCAACTTTAATATCCCACTGCTCTGTACATACAAATTATGTCTGAGTCCCATCAGCACTCTTCAAATCAAGTTTCATGCTGATATCAGTGAAATAAAATATAGCTATTGGGTTAGGAAACTGCTATATTAGGGGAGAAAGTCCCTTCAGTGACTGAACTGAGCACTGTCACTATTCAGTTGCTTCCGTGGGTGCTGAGCATGCTTGGCACTTCACTGGGGGTGGTGAGCACCATGCCATATCAGGCCCTATCAGATTTGCTCACCTTCACCTATTAAGTTAGTAGTAGAATCAGAAATAGAATTTGAAAGGTAAAACTTTCAGTCATCTTTCCTAAGTGAAAGAACACCAGTCTTTTTCACGCACTCTCTATGCTTTCTTCTTGCATTCTATGCTTGCTATGACACATACTCAAAAATACTAAATTAAATAGGTTTCTTCAATATCAAATGAATAAGCATTTCTTAGTCCAAACCTAAACAATTTATTAGTCCAAATAAACACTAGTTGTTTTTAGATGCAGAACTCTTTGATCAATGCTAAGTATTGTCAGAAAGATGCATTTTTAAAAATCGATTATAGCTGCAAGTGAAACACACTGTTCATATTTCCATGGTAGTTTAGCCATAATTACATATGCATTTAAACAAGTACATGCAATTCAGACACATGATAGAGGAGAAAAGATACCCTGAAACGATCTATTAAATCAGCAGTAATACTTCCCATTGACTTTTACAGATTCTATTCAGTCCTCTATTTTAAAATTAGCTACTGACCCAAAGTTAGTCACTGTAGAAATTTTGCAGACCTGGCTTGTTTCCAGATGTTTCTTAATTAGCTCTCTAGGTCAGACTCCTTATTATCAGAAATAAATATATAATAGCATTTAATAATAAAATTGCAGTCTCACTGCACTCAGAGTGACATAAATGAGTCGTAGATTTAGGCTTGGAAAAGTGACTTTTCAAGCTGTAACACAGCTAACTCTCCTTTTTGACTTGTAGCACTGAACAGTGAAAGCGAGAGAAAACAGTGGTTCCCCCCTCCCTAGCAAGTTGAATTATAAAATTGTTGGGCAGTTGTATGTGTAGAAGGGGTTGGTTATCTTTGCCCTTTTTAGAAAGTGGGAGTAAGGAATAGGGGAATTTTCTCCCTGAAATTCTGTTAAAGTTCAAGAAAGGAATTGTTATGAAATCCTGATCTATCACAAGCTGGATCACAACAACTATTAAAATTTTGTTTAAATGTAGCATGATTAACATGCTCTCTTACCATATACGTATTTTTTTAGACTACATACAGTGATTGCCCAATTGCATTCACTTGTGTATTATCCTCACTGTAAGAGTGGTAGCATTAGTTCAAAATCATAGGTAGAAATAAATCACAGTAAATTTCACAATCTAAATTTCTAAAATAGAGCTCTTACCTGCTTTGCAGGAAAACTAAATTGCTGTTGAAGTTTATTTGTACTGAATAAAGGGTGCAAAGTTAAAACAAACATACTGAAATGTCTGGAGAGGGGTAAGGAATACCCTACTCTTTTTTTTAATGAAAAAATGTCATTAGTGAAAAAAATCCTAAAGGTCTTAAGACAGAGGAAGAAATTTTCTGTGTAACTAAAATTCCAAAGTATTAACATGTTATGCTCACGTTGTTCTGTGCTAAATGCATTTTCGACAAGTAAACATGTCAGTTTTATTTTATAAAGTAACCATCTTACCTCAACTATTCCTATTTTTCCATCAGTAGTCTTCCCATATTGGTCCACAAAAGCTTTCATTTCAGGTGTTAAATCCTATAAAGTTACAATGAGAGAATCTTTAAGATAGAGAGACACATATGTAAGCTTACTTGCATGTTCTTTTAGTTGCCAAATAGTATACTACATTTAATGAAGTACTCACACTTACTGCAGTTAGATGCCTCAAGTTGAAATGAAATTGAGTGGTTTTTTTATCATGAATAACGTAATGATGATAAATTTTACTTCCTAAGGAATGACATTATAGTCAATGTGAATGATTGGCATCTAAATACTTAGTACTCCTATTTTAGTTTATGGAATGAAAAAATTACAGAGACAGAGGTGTTGGAAGATGTGTATAACAGCTCCTTTGTTTAGGAGGATGACAGTGAAGTTCATAGGCAATTATTAGTCAATTTTCTCAGTTTTTATTTTTAAATTAGTAACTTGAAGGCAGTGCAAAATCTTTCCAAATAAGGAACATCTCAGTATAATATATCTGAACACCAAAACAGCCTTTCCACATCTTTGAGTTGATTTTTCCTGAACAATGGATGCTATTTTGGCCCTAAAAGATCTCATCACAATATCATCTTTTTCACTGTTTAGTATCTGTTTATCACAAAAACAGAGTCAAAATGTCATTGCTGAAATGTAGAGAGGCAGATTTAGGAGGCAGAAAACTTTGAGTAGTACCTTGAATCTGACAAGAGTAAAGCCAGCATAATTGTTCTTCATATAAATTACGGTTCCTGCTAGACATCTGGTCTCTAAAGGCTGTCCTCACTCTAGGCTACAACAAAGGTGCCAGCCTTGGGGTGAATACCTAAATATTTGATCTCACACTTCTACTTGCCTTGCTCTGATGTGAGCTGCCCTTGACCTGCAATACTGATTAAACTTTTAACTTTCTTTGTATTTCTTATAGGGGTGAGCTAGTAAAACTATGCAGCAAGAATCAGGACTACAGTTATACTAGAAAAATGGACAATTCTATGGTTACAGATGAAGATACAGCAGTGTTTGGAAATTAAAGGTTTAGTTGCTCTAACAGATCTGATTATGTAGGACCTGAGTGATTCTCTCACTGGAGACACAGGGAATCTCAGCTGTACCAGGTCCATTGTAGTTTGTCCCAAATTTCAACTACTAAAGCTAACTAAAATGTCAGTTCCTTGTAGCTGATACAGTCATGGCCCAGTATCCTATTTCTGTCAAAGTCATCCATGGCAGGTTAGTAATTTGCTATGGCTTTAATTAGAGATGTGGTTATTAATACAATGCACTTCAATGTCACCTTTCATCGGATGGTCCCAAAGTGGGGACGTGTTTGTTTAGCAGACAGAATGGAGAATTTAAGACACCTGGATTTTGATTAGTCCTGGTTAAATATTTTGCTAATCTTTCTAGTAGCAGCTTTGCAGTGCCAGACAGTGTCCAGCCATTGAAGGAGGCACAGCCAATTACAGGTTAAACAAAAAGGGTGCTCGTCTTCTAGTACGTTATTCAGAAAGGGTATTTTCATTGTTGTTGTTCACTTCACCTGCTCTTGAGCCGCTTGATGATTTATGTTATTCAAATAAATATTTTCAGTTAAAAAACTTGCCTAAATTTAACCAAGTCTAGTCCAAAACTTGATACAGATGCAGTTCTCAGTGTTTGAAATTAAGAAACTAAGCTTTCAAACCCCAGTCTCCCTTTTTAAAACTTAGGAGACACTTATCCAACCAAGTGAAGCTCTAGAAAAAAATATTTTTTTTCTATATGGTTCGAAAATGTAAGGATAGATGCCACTACAGAAACACCTATGTGACTGTATTCATAAACATCTATAAAATCACGTATTTCTGTGGAGAAATATTGTCATTGTCTAGATAAGCAGAGTAAGTGAGAAACAGATGTGGAATAGATCATCCGAGATCCCTTTATCAACCTCTGATAGGCACTTATACCCCAGTTTCTTTTGGCAATTGGCATATCTAAATAGAGAAGGTATTTCATAAATGTGAGGCACAATAAACAGAAGCTAAGCTTATACAATTATATAGCTTTTATCTTTTAAAAAAAGAGGCCATTCTTTCAACATGTCTGAAAGTACACCAGATCAAGTCAGTATCTACCACAATGCATGAAGCAAAAAGACATAGCGTTACCAGAGAAAAACCCAAGCTCTAGAACCTCCAGGTACACATCTGCCCTTTGGGGCTACCATGAGTCAGGCTGCATGCTACTGCGCCATCTGAGAAAAAGCAACTGTGCAAGTACGGGCTTACTGAGTGGATTAATAAAAGAATTAGAATTAGAACATAATTAGAACAGTTCTGTAGTTGGGAAGAATATTGGGAAATGTTAAACCATCCTATTCAATGACAGAATCAATGTGATTCTTTAATGCACATGGCGTGACTGATGTAAAATCCAGCTATGAAGAATGCATAATTGAATATTTCAAAAATAGTGAGCAGGAAAGTGACCTGAAATGCAGAAGTTAATGATGACAAAGAAGCTTTGGGGTGTTAAAAGAAGGACAGCCGAGGAAATGACAAATAACCTACACTAGTTTCTCAATGTGTCCCTTCTGGCAAAAGAATAGAAATTCTAAGCTACTGAATTAGTATCCCGTGAGACAAGACATGAACTAATGAGATGCTTGTTTGGCAAATGAGCCTTCAAATCCAAGAATCAGCTTAGATTTGAAACCTAAGATGACATAAATCCATACTCCACCACCTCCCCTCACCCCCCCAAAAACCCCACCAAACTTCAGGGCTAAAGGTAACATCTACCAAAGGCAGAGACAATGGATCAAGTACTGAATTTGTCATTGCTACTGTAGGTTGCTCTTTTCAGCAGAATACTCCAAAAATAAGTTTGAATCAGAGAAATAGGAAAGGAAAACTTAATTTTTAACTTAATTAACACCTGAGCATTTTAAAAATATAGTGTGAGATCCAAGCAGAGATTTTTTTTTTTTTTAAACATAAATTATGAAATTTGTAATAGTAAGACTAAGGCTTTTCTGTGTTGCTTTGAGCAGGCTCTGCTTTTAAGAAGAGGTGCACACTTATTTTGAGAGAGAAAAGAATCTGATCTTTAAATTATTTTCTTCCTTGTGCTTCTAGTTATTTTTTTAACTACTGAATAATATATCAGTATTTCAACTAAGAATGCCATTTTTATTAAAGATACACAGCGTTTAATATCTTCTTGCTAATGGACATACTTAAGTTTCTTGCACTTCAATATAGAAGAAAGATTTGTTCTGTTGCAATACTTGAAGGGTATTGAAGTGGTGTTTAATCTTTTACGTGAAAAAAAATCCCAACGTATTTTTTCCCTCTAGAAAATGCACTCCTTTCTCAGCATTTTGGTTTTTAAAGTAGTTTGTTTTATAGTTTTAGCTTAAAATTCCTTACACTCATGAAAATGAGTGCCTACACCAACAACTGTAGAAAGAATTAACTGGTACCAAGACTGCAATAACATTAAAGGCATTGCTGGGAGACAGATTTTCAGATGCGTAAAGTCTGCGCTCACAAAATTAACAAGAAGATACAATTTTCCACAAAATAAATTAAGATGCATATTATTTTTTTTTCATTTACTTCTAAAATATACAGCAACTTTTAAAGCCAAGTTAGTTATTGAAAAGCTATTGCTCAATTTGGAGATATTCTTATATGAAGCAGCAATTTATTTCCCCCATGCACACATGACATCCAATTAAATTACAATTTTATTTTCTGTTACTTCAGAAGTCTTTTTTCATAGATTGATTTAAATTTATTTCATTAGGTTATATATTTGAGTTTGAGGCTAAGTGGCTTTTTCTGGAAACCAATTATTTTGAAGGCTATTTATTTTTTAAAAGATGTCACTTCTATTTTAATTCAAATCTTTATACGTAATCTTTCATTTATTTCTCTCCCCCCCCCCTTTTCTTTCTCTCTCTCTGTTTTTTTACCCACATGGGTATATTTGGTTGAACTTTATAGTTAGTTCTTTAATAGCTCATGCAGATAATTGTTTTGACAAAATTGCCAAAAACTTTGCTGTCTCTCTGAACAATTTAAACTATCAGGATTTTGTACTTAACACTCCTGGTGAATAAAACTGGTGAAGGGCAAAAAGCGGTTAGCAATAATCTGCAGATCTGTTTACTGACCACCAAGGGGCATAAATGCATTTCAGCCCATACTGCCCATTAGGTGTGAAATTAAAACCGAGTCAAACTAACTTGAAGTGGTTTTGGGTTTTTTTTCCTTTTTTTTTTTTTTTCTTTTCTTTTTAGTATCAGTACATATCTGGATCAGGTAAGATTAATCAATATGGGATAAGGTCCCATCCAAGACAAAAAGGTGATGTCCATGCATTTCTTGACTTTTCTTATTAAGCACTGTCAGAAGCTCGTAGCCTGGCAAGATGTAAGAGGGACCTGCTCTCAGGAAGGTGGTCCCTGCCCTCACCTTCCCAAAGCAGACGGCTTATTTCGTTTGCAGCCTGCTGATTTCTAACGCAGCCGCTTCCCTCTGCCTGGTGAGGCAGATGCGTGAGCCGTGCGATGGCAACAGAGGGCAGAGGGAACCGGGGCACCGGAGTTTGCCCAAGAAAACTTTTCTTTCCCAGGGAAGGCGGAAAAGTGGGGCGAAACGTTAACCTACCAAGCCTGCCTTCTTCCGCGCCTGCTGCAGCTCCTGGATGAAGTTTTGTAGCTCCTTCCCATCCATGTACCCATTCCCTACAACACAAAGAGTTACGGTTGCGGTCACCGCTCCCTCCAAACTCTCTCCGCTCTTCGGCGCTGGCAGGGAGGTCTCCGGCCCGTCCCAG